AGCCGCCTTTCTGGTGGGATGTACCTTTGCAGGGGATGGGGTGTGAGGAGCTTCTCCAACTTGAGAGAAGAATGTTGGAGTACGGTGAGAAGAAGATGTCAGGCTTCCAGCAGATGGATTGCTAGACGAGAGAGCAGGCGGTTAGAGAATGAATCAGGAGAGCTACAATTACAGACAGACGAAGGCAATAATATTCTCCTAAATGGATTGCTTGTATATTCAGTTAGAGAGAAGAATTTCTCCTCTTCTCGTTTTCGCTCTGTTTTGAAAATGTATTGTCTTCTCACATTCTTAGTTTTCTTAGAAGATGATTTGGTATATGTTTGATTTGATATTCATATTACTTGATGAAACCATATAACTTTCAATGTTTCTTTAATTTTTTTTATTTTTATGTAACATATTTGCGTGGATTTACAGAGGTATAGCTCTTTTTGGTTTTCCTTAAAGAGGGTTTCACAGGCTTCTAAAAGGTGTATTTAATGTTTTAGAAGTTAAAATAGCGATATTTTCTTATGAGAAATGAATGATTTGAGTGGTATAAATGTAAAAATAAAGTTTAGTTGTTAGATATGTTGTTGACGCAAGAATTAGGTCCACCATATGCAAATGCAACATTTCATTTTAAATTTTGAAATGTATGGTTTGCATCTGCTCCTAAAATTTAATAAAAAGTTATAATATTTATAAATAATATTTTAATAATTGACTAAATGTTTTTTTCTTAATGATCTAAATAAAATCCAATATTAAACTGAAAAATAATTAATAAAATACATGAGGCCATGTGACCCAATTTATACTCATCCATTACCCGGTCAACTTAGATAAGAAGCTTAGCTGCCCATTTAGCAAGTGAATAAGTCCCCTGACATCTTGGGTTGGCTCATTGGTTAGCAGAGTGTGCAAGTCCCCTGACATCTTGGGTTCAAGACTCACATCGAATAAATGCACATATCTTAAGCTGGGGTGTGTGTGTGTGTGTCTATATATATATATATATATATTTAGCAAAACATCATTATACAAGTCAAAATTTAAATTAGCAAAACATCATTATACAAGTCAAAATTTAAATTTCTCAGTATATTTTCATGCAAACATAAAATGATATTTTCTTCAAATCAGATTGTTCTAATTTCAAACTGCACAATTACTAAAAAGGTTTCACGAGTGGCTAAAACCTAACACCCAACAAGTACTAAACATCAAATCAGCAACCAACTCAAATCAACATGTAGTTTCCTTTGAGGATCCACAACAGTAAAACATTCATAGTAAGATCGGACATTCAATTTATGTCAACAGTTGGAACCAAACAATACTTGCTCAAAAGGGTCTGATTTCTCTAAATTAACTTCAATGCACAGCAAAATGGTAACAATTTCAAATTTGTTTTGAATGTTTGTGTACTTTTACATCATACAAAATGACTGCATGAACCCAAAGCTGAACAAAATTATAGAAATCTGCAACGCCTCTTAATCATGAAGCGTCCCCAAGATGTCATCTTCACGGTACAGGTGGAACCTGAGCAATTCCCAACAACATCAGCAACAATCAAACCATACAATTTATGAATTCTGGGAGGCGTTTTATGCGAAAAAAATTGTAGAAATTCATTGCACAATTATGACAGCATTTACCTATAGTTCCAATTTCTCTTCAGTTTCAACATATATAAAGGTTTGCAGCATTTCAATAATATTACATATGAATGATTCACATGTAGAACACCTAAACGTTGATACTTGCATTTATAGAACACGCTCATATATGAAGGGTGCATATCACTTTGTGTTTTTTATGTTATATTAAAGATTTGAGGATTTGAAATGTAAAAATAAAAATTTAAATGTTAGATATGTAAATACAAAAGAATGGTGTTATGTCTATAAATGTCTCGTTACTTGTTTTGACTCTAAATGCTTTCCTAATCAGATTTAAATTTGAATTCTGTACTAATACAATGTGGTGGCAGCAAATCCATGTATGCAATTCAGAATGCACCACCAGATTTTCTTTTAAAATTGTTGGTCAATGTACCCCAATCGAAGATGGACTATAACTTTCTTACTGCTACCGCTTACAATCTATGTTTATGCATTTTCATTATCATGCGCTCTCAAGATGGAGCTCTAAGAGGATGACACTTATAATTTTTCATGAAGTGATTGTCTTAAGGAAATATGTTTCATATATGTATGAAAAACTAAACTGGAATTTCGTAGTACCAAACTTATCACATTAAAAGCACGATTTTGTGCCTATAAAGCACAGACAGTGGCATGACACGACACGATATAGGGACACTACATAATTGAAAAAAATAAGACACGACATGTCATGAACATGTTTTTAATATTTAATCAATTATTAATATAAAAAATATTTTTCTTTCATTATTCCTTATTAAAAATGTCACAACACAAATTATGCAAAAATAAATTTAACTTCATAAATTTAATTTATAAAATCTCATTATATGAAAATTAGTTTTTTAAATTATATATAATATGTTTCAAAAAAGTTCATTCAACTTATAATCTAATTTATCGACTAAAATTTAAAAAAAAAAATTGTGATTACAAAGAGAGAATTACTAATGCTCGACCTAAACGAATATTGGATGCACCTTCGATGCATGATTTTGACGAATGTTAAAGGGAGATTTAACATGACGAGAGATGGAGCGGTTTCAACTACGAAGTATAATTAAGGATGTATATATATTTATAATTTTCTAATTCTCGCATCCCATTTCTTGAAATAATATTAAGCTCACATCAGATGTGGTATTGAGAAGTGTCCCGAACGTGTTCGCGCTTGAAAAAAATATTCTAACATATACTTTGTAGTGTCGAAGAAGTTTCGGGGCACGTAGGAAAAGTATCGATGTCTGATACGTGCCTGAAATGGCTACGACAAGTGTCGGTGCTACCTAATTTTGTACCATTTCCAATCCAGAATGAAATAGAATGAAAAAGTAGTGATAAACAACAATGCATCCATTCGGTCATGAAGAGATAACAGAGAAGCCAAACATATATGAATGAAAAACTGCATTGGAATTTCACAGCGCCAACATTATCACATTAAAAGCACCATTTTTGACCCTTCCCAATCCACAAGTGGGTCATGATAGAATGAAAAAGTAGTCATAAACAACAATGCCATGATTCAGTTGTGAAGAAATAACAGAGAAGCCAAACCTACATGAATGAAAAACTGCATTCGAATTTCATAGCACCAGCATTATCAAGTTAAAAGCCTCATTTTGTATCATTCGCGATCCACAACGAGGTCATGATATAATTAAATAAGTAGTGATAAACCACAATTCCATGATTCATTCATTGAAGAGATAGCAGAGAAGCCAAACATATATGAATGAGAAACTGCATTGGAATTTTATAGCACCAACATTATCACATTAAAGACTCATTTTGTACCCTTCCCGATCCACAACGAGATCATGATAGAATGAATAAGTAGTGATAAACAACAATGCCATCATTCAATCGTTAAGAGATAGCAGAGAAGCCATTAAACAACAGTCTACGGCCATTAATAAGTTCGTACATGAACTGAGAACAATTTATTTACCGTGTAAGCAATTTTAGGTGTGTAAACGATAGGTAATGGAGGCTGCAAAAAATGGTTTAATACTAAGAATAGTGCAAAAGGTTACAAATTTTGCATCTATCATTCGAGTAAGCAAATTTTGTGGATTGCATTGAGACAGATAAAAGCGTTGAAAGTGGGAGTCATTATAGTGATGGTCCGTGATCATTGAGGAAGATCGAACATAAAACATAATATAAAAACAAACACAGTTTTTATATTATTAAGCAGGCAGCTTGTGTAGTAGCAAGAAAAAAAGATGTAAGGAAAATATATTTTATATTAATTAATTAATTCTTAATTTTAATGATTTTTTTACAATTAAAACGTTTTATCATCAATATTAAGTCTGAATTTGACAAAATGATTTTGGTTCATTTTCTTTCGTTAAAAAATGTTTATATTTTCCCCCTATTCTAATATAAGTCATGTTTATATCATGTTTATTTTGAAGAAGTTAAAGTGTGCAAGTCGTTTGCATTTCTTAAACTTTTAACTTTCTTGTAGAAGTCATAATAATTTTTTGTTTGGGCAAGCTAATTTGAATTGTTTCAACAGTGATATAATCACATATTTTATTTGTCGATATAGCATTGTTGTTAAAAATAATTCATATAAATGTATATTTCATGCAGGTCACTCCTATTTGAATTACAGGTGACAATAAATGACCCAATAAGACAATCTGTCATGAACATGGCCTTTAAAAAATTGAATTCATATTGACTTGATAAGCTTTCAGGTGAAAATTAGGTCTAAAATTCTTATATATTTATCTGTTGCTTTAGGTGCAAGTTGACACAAAAATCCAACTAGATATGAATTTAACCTAAACATGACCCCTCGGATTTGCGCTGACCGAAAAAAGCAAATTTGACCTGGATTTAACCCAAACTTGACCTAAATAATGCATTTCTAATCTAGAATGACTTCTATGCTTTACCCACCAGCATTTAAATTTGCTATGTATGTCACATACTATACTTACATGAACCTAAGTATGTTAAACATGTTACTCAAATCAGGTTCAAGTCAGATGAGTTGAAAGCGAGTCCATTTTGGTTGAAACTTTTTGATCCATGTAATAAATGGGTCAAAGTCATGCAGGTTCAAATCTGGTCAAATCTTGGTTAAACACTAATAAGAAGCATTAACCTGACCTGATATTCCTAATCTGAATCATATATAACAATAAAAAAAGTCTTATATGTAAGCATGCCAAACATATATTAAATGTTCGCACTCATTTGTTTATCTTAATGGTACAAATCACAAAACAAAATGTTATAAACACCCGCCTCATTTTGGTGCACCATTAACTTAATTTGTTCAATTTATGTTAGCTACAAAAAAGAACACGTAGTAGGCATCCAATGTAATTCTCACTAATGAATAATTGATTTAAGCACCAAGGAATCCATTGCATAATTTTGCAGTGATTTGTTCATATAAGATAAAAATTCAAACTTGTCAGTCAGCCACTACATTATGCACATCAGACCTTTTACTCAACGAAATGTCATTTCTTAGCTAGCTTTGGCTGCACTTAATTAAGCAAATATTAATATACACATATTATAATGATATTTTATCATGATACTACCTAAAAACAATATGAGTATATGAGTTAGGTGAATAAGTTACAGAACATGAAAAGGTTGTCGTTGCACTCTTCTTTAAACATGCAAAGAAGGTGAGAACATGAAAATGATAATCTCTTTCTCTTAAATCAAAATCTTCTTTATCGCTCATCTTGTTTATCTTCAAGTAAATGAGTTATAAGCCTAAATGAAGATCCTTCTTTTTTTTTAACTTTAAGAATTATCTCAAATATTATATTTCCTTCCAAAAACACCACTACAAGTCATAATGATGCTCTATCAAATCTTCCTCTTCAATAACTAATTTATAATCCTCATTCGACACATTATCTACTTTTCCTACAGTTGACCTCATTTTTGGTGAGGTCTAGTCTTCCTCTTAGGGTTTAGGATCTAGCCTTAGGGACCTCCCTTGGACTATCTTAGAACCTTAGAAATGGGACCCGCCTTGTTCTAGAAATTCAACTCACTTATGTCCCCTTTTGGAGTTTCGCGTGTGTGGTATCGACTTCTAGTACTTAGAAGGGTGAAACCAACATGAGAAAACACAAAAGGGATCCCTATAGGACCTTCCTGAGCCTTAGGGTGACCTTTTGCACAATTCGCACTCCCGCGCACAAACTTCGCAATTCGGAGAGTCGACGCGTCCGATCGCCACAGTTCACATCGCTTGCACTGTTACCTGTCGAAGACTAGAATAAACCTTTTGAAGCGATCGATCGCGGGTCGAAATTTGGTGAAATTTGAATTTTGACGCGTTTTTTTACCCGATTGTCGACGACGTCGTCCGAGCGACCCCGAATGACAAAACGGACTGCCCCGGCACGTCCGGAGCGTCGATTTTGTCTAGGGAGGACACCCATTTTGTTACGACGCCGCGCACGAGTAAATCGCATATAATTTAATATATATAGATATATCTGTGTGTGTGTGTGTGTGTGTGTGTGTGTGTGTGTGTGTGTGTGTGTGTGTGTGTGTGTGTGTGTGTGTGTGTGTGTGTGTGTGTGTGTGTGTGTGTGTGTGTGTGTGTGTGTGTGTGTATTCTCCCTTTTCCTCTTTAAACACTAAATCCCTAAACTCATGCACTCGAGCTTTGCCTCCCTTCCCTCCCCTGTTTGCGTGTCTGACCTTTCCCTTTCTTGGTCTCGAGCCAACCGAGCTCCTCCTCCTACACGCGAGAGAAAGTTGACCTCGTTCGTCCTTGCCTGACATTCTTTTGCCCGCGACCTTCCTTGCCGAAGCCGTGTCAGTCTCCCCGAGCTGCTTTTTTTCCTTTTCCTGGTAGTTTGACTCTAGGAAGCTTGT